AAGATATAAGCTCATCCTGATATTACACTCATCCAGAGCTTTCATTAGAGTACCCACATGCATTTTTATATATATTTTCATATTTATATGTATAAAATATATAAATATATAATATATATTGAAAATTGATGTGGGTACTCAAATGAAAGCTCTTGAAGAGTGGAACATCATGATGGGCTTATATCTTCAAAAATATCATAAGTTGACAAAATACTGTGTAATTTCTTAATTATTGAAATTCTTAAAGATATAAGCTCATTCTGATGTTACACCCATCGAGAGCTTTCATTTGAGTACCCACATCAATTTTTCATATATTTTATATATTTATATATATGAATATATGAAAAATATATGAAAAATTGATGTGGGTACTCAAATGAAAGCTCTTGAAGAGTGTAACATCGGAATGAGCTTATATCTTCAAAAACTTCTATATTTAAAAAAGTACAGTGCAATTTAACAAAAGTCATTACTTCTTTTTTTTAGTTTGTTTAAGTTTTGACCTTTGACCTCAAATTTTAACTAAAGGATTGAAAATTTGAAAAAATTGACGAAGACCTTTTTTATAGAACATTAAATTTCCTACAAAAAAGCTTTCATATAATTTTTCCAATTTTTAACCCATAATTTTGAATTTTAATTTCATCCAAAAAGACGATTGAATTGAGCTTGTCTAAAAATGTAATAAAAACACGAAAAAAAAAAATGACCACGGGTGTCAAAAACAGCCTCGCAGATGTTAACTTGAACAGTTACATGATAATCTCGGTATAAAGAAAAGTTTTTCATGTATAACACGTTAAATAAAGCTCGAAAAGGGTGTTGGAAGCATCTGGCGCCTTACTCGAGCTGTCGAATCTTGTATGACGCTAAAGAAGCAATAAAATTCTGCTGATATTTCGGTGGTTGCAGAGGAATTTACCGATCTTAGTGTACCGGCTGCTCTCTATTACTTTAATGTGTATTCTCTGTAATTATTTATAAGAAAATTTAAAAGCTGGATCCATATTCCGGTCTGTGGTTCACAGATTACGTTATATTAGTATGTAAAGCCAAAATAGCGCAATTTATTTGACGATGCGCGTGACAATGGATGAAAAGCTCGGAATTGTGTCCGACCATTTTTAATGTTTAACCGCAGAACCCAAAAGCCATTAAGTACAAAATATAATATAATAATATAATGTGGTATATGCTCTCGTTCCTTTATCGCGGTCGTTTCATTTTATTTACCTTTTTTCAGACGTTTTTTTTTTTTTTCCGCCGGGCATTATAGTCACCATTACGTTTCGTACGAAATGACCGGTGACCACTACTGTCCATCGCGACTCTGTATATATGGAGACAAAATGCCCCGAGGCTGGAGGAGCTTAGTGAATGCTTCTACATGCGCTCTCAACCATTCAAATAAATGCCTTTTGTGCTCTGCTTTAACATTAATCATTAAATTTACATTAGACAGATACTTATATTTCTTTCACGGTGGACGTTTAACAATTTTTCTCTTTTTTATGTCTTAAAGAATTTTTTTTTTAATTTATTTATGGGGTCAAATTTATTTATAATTCCGTTTTTTTGACAAATTTGGTCAAATATTGGAAAAATGCAAAGCGAGACATTTTTAATATAATATTTAATTTGCTACATTAAAAGACCTTAATAATTTTTTTTTATCTTTAATATTTTAGTCAAAATTTGACGTCAAAAGTCAAAAATTAAAGTAACTAGAATAATAATTAAAATGTATCTTTAATAAATAATCAAAAATTGAAATTGAGAGTCAAATATTGGAAATATGCAAAAATTATGAGTCCTTTATTGTATAAAATTTAATTTGCTACAATAAAGAATACTTTATTTATTTATTTATTTATTAGGTCAAAATTTGAGGTCAATGGTCAAAAATCAAAGTAACTAGAAAAATAACGTAATATCATTTTTTTAATTAATTAAAACTCATAATTTTGGGATAAATATGGATTGAAGCTATGGATAAATTATAAGAAATATTTTTTGAAGAAAATTTGACGTTCCAAAAAAAAAGACCCTTATCAATTTTCTTATATCTTCAATAATTCAGTTAAAATTTGAAGTTAAAGGTCAAAAATTAAAGTAACTAGGAGAATAATTAAAATGGATCTTTAATAAATAATTAAAAATTGAAATTCAGAGTCAAATATTGGAAAAATACGAAAATTATAAGACCTTTTCTGTAAAAGGTTCTTTAAAATTTTTCCGTATCTTCAATTTTTTAGTCAAAATTTAAGGTCAAAGGTCAAAAATCAAAGTAACTAGAAAAATAACGCAAAATAATTTTTTTTATTAATTAAAACTCAAAATTATGGGTTGATTATTGAAAATATGGTTAAATAACTTTTTTCCAGAAAATTTGATGTTCTTACAAAAAAAATCCTTATCAATTTCTCCGTATGTTTAATCCTTTAGTCAAAATTTGAGATCAAAGGTCAAAAATTAAACTAACTAAGGATAATTAAAATGCATATTTTAATAAATAATTAAAAATCAAAATTCTGGGTCAAATATTGGAAATTTGAAAAAATTATAGACTTTTTTTTTTTTATTCAAATTTAATTTTCTCCAAAAAAAGTCTGTCAATTTTTCTGTATCTTTTATAGTTTATCCAAAATATTAATTTACGCACTTACTCTCGTTATTTTGACAAATAATTATTTACAAATTTTAAATAAATAAATTTTGACTATTTTTCTATTACTGAAATAAAAAAAATAAAAAGAAAAGTACTTACATTTTTAGAATGGATGCAAAGAACCATCGTATAAATGAAAAAAGCCCGCAAAAAGTGTTTCATGATAAAAAGAACCTAAAAAAAAATAGTGAAATATTCGTTTTAAAAGTCAATAATAAAAAAGGAAACTTACTGGATAATTATAGCCAGAGCAGGAAAAGTCGAATGAGGCAAAAGTTGCTCTTGTACTCGAGTCTAGGAGTGGAGAGTAAACGCGATAAGAAGTAAAAAACGAATGAAAATAGTTAAGATTGAATAACATCGTAAATAATATTTAAAAAGCGCCGACGAGAAAATAACATTGTTATCAACAGTTGTAATTGGCAATTAAAAAAGTTAACTCATGGCTGCTACGGTGTCTTTTAAACACGAATCAAACTCCACCTGATTGCCATGCTCCGTATAGTTTAATTGATTTATTGAAATAAGTCCCCGAGCTTATCTAATTAATCTAATTGCGACAAAGATTTATCGCTCAAATCTTTTTGCATTAATTTTTTTAAAATTCGGGTCGCTTTTAAAAAAAAAAAAAAATATTTATAATCCCGGATTGTTACAAAAGCCGATGGTGTGCCGGCAGCTTCCGAGTTTCGACCGAGAAAAATTTATCCCGAGTGAGACTATTAAAATAACCATTAGCGGGTTAGATAATCGGAGTCAAGTACGCGTCATGAATTTCAATGAGCCGTAACAATTAACGTGCACTCTACGTGTGTGCTCACTGTCCGAATAATCTCTATTGGCTTTTATTTATTTGTTACACATTTTTTATTATATTTTATTGGTATATTTGTGATTGTTTAAATAAATTTGGAAGATTTTTTTTTTTTTAAATTGAAACTTAAAATTTTGGAGTAAATATTAAAGATACAAAAAAATTATAAGAAAATTTTATTGTAAAAAATTTAACTTTACACAGTAAAAAATTTTGCGTCAAAAAATTTTGAGTTAAAAATTTTTATGTTAAATATTTAACACTTTTTTGTATCAATTTAACATTTTTCTGTGTTAATTTAATACAATTAATATTAAATTTACACATAAAAGTGTTAAATATTTAACACAAAAATTTTTAACACAAAATTTTTTGATTCTTCTAATTTATTAGTTAATTTAATTTTTTATATTAATTCATAATTTTATATCAATTCAATATTATCTATCTTATTAAAATATTCTCTTTAAAACACTTTAAATGTAAGGTAAAAGACCCAGTTATTGACACT